TTCAGTCACCACCGGTTGGTGGTCGGTTTGGATAGTCCTATGTTCGACAGGAAAAAGTTCAGGTGGAGGGATTTCCCGCTGGAAAGATGAAAGTTGGTTCGTCCGGAAACTGCACAGTGTACAGTCCGTTCCAGCTCCACTGGTAGTTTTACCAAGCTTCATGGCGGGTATTCAGGTCACCCCAACGATGAATCTGGAGCTAGTACGATAGATGACTAATCCGTTGATGGCGGCACACTGCTGAGGGAAGTAAACAGCGATGAACCGAACATTTCTAGTTGGCGATTCCACCTCCACACTAAGAACCTTGATGATAGAAGTGTAGATGTGAGACAGGGTGTGGAACTTGATTCCTTTCTTGACGACCATCCCTGCTGGAGCTGGTGCGATCAAGCCGGATAATATTGTGGTCAGGCAACCAAAAGCTGTCGCCGAACTTAAGATGGGTCTTAACCACGTCGATGCTGTGCTTGCGGAGGAAGTCGACATGCTCAATCTTGTTTGCTCTTAGAGAGCAAGAATTCTAGCTGACGATAGTTTGCGGTTTAAACGCCATACTGGATGATAAACTTAACGAGTACTTGAACGTGCTCGGGCTTATTGCGGCACTTACAAAGAACACCGGTCATGATGACGAAGATTTACATCAGTTCATCCGTTGAGAACAGATCGGGGTTGTTGTTTAGCTCTGGTGGTTGTCTCCAGCATCCATGAGGGTGGAGATTTTTATCCAGCAGAATATCATCATATCGGAAGTTTATTGAGGCGGAGCAGGTTGCATCTAAGAACTCGCTTGCCTTTGCTGTAGAACACTAAGAGGCGGGAAATCCTCCGTCCTGAAAGCTGGAGCCATTTTTCTCCTTCCTGGTTGGTTGATGGTTAATGGCTGCTTTCGGATGCGTTTGGAGCACTGTCGGGACCTTGATGAGCACCACCACAGTTGGCGCATTTTAATGCCACGGCTCTATCCGCAGGCCAGTTGGAAGTAGCGTGTTCTCGAGCGCAGTTGCTGCAGCGTGGCTCGACGTTACAGATGCGGGTAACGTGTTCAAAGTTGAGGCAACACTGGCACTGTGTTACGTCACGATGGCCGCTACGGTATGCCTTCCAGTAAACGATGATAGAATAAATCGAGCGGATGTCTTGCAGCGCATTGAGCGTCACCGTCCCTTTTTGGAAGTGTACCAGGAAAAGACAATCCGGGTGCGTCTTCACGTTTTCGTCTCTCCTCTTCATCCGGAAGACAGCGATTGAGCCCAGCCTGTACCGCTCCTTGATTTCGGCTTCGATCATTTTGGCGTCGAAGTTTGGTGGTTTCTCACCGAGGATGTCATGCGTAAAATATTACTTCAGGTATTTTACGGACACTTCATGCTTTGCTTTTGTAAGGAGCATCACCTTGGTACCAATCCTGCTGAGTTTGAACTCGGCTGCGACGTCCAGCGATGTGAAATCGCCAATGAGCGTGTTGAGTGGCAATATACACCATACCCGAGCAAAGTCGGTTAACAAAATGAAAGCAAATCGATATTAAAGATTGCAGTTCCTATCATAATGAATACTCATTTTGATTTCAATTGTCACGACATTAGTCTGATATCATATTGTGCTTTCATTATGCAGTCAAGACATTTTAAATGAAAGCAACTTAACTTTAAGTTCTGCTGTTAACGTCTTGTTTAAGATTTAAGTTAAGCTTATCTGTCGTTGAACTAACGATTATTGTTTAATTGTTTTGTTTAACACATTTTAGGTCATTCGCAACCAACCCGAGGTGACATTTGAGCTCAAGTCTTTCAGCGTGAGAAGCTTGGATGCTAACCATTTACACCAGGCCCGTATTCAGTCAAACATTATGAATGCAAAATCAGTAATCAAATTGATTTCATTGAAAGCAGGATTAGTTTTCCGTTTGATTCAACAGTGTAAAATTTTGCTCTCATTTTTGATGTGTTAACCGTTAAGTCAACCAAAATGAGATCAATTTGAGTATTCAAAGTAAGTTACATCATAACAGCAAATTCTGATTTCAATTTGATCTCTAACTTTGCTCGGGTATATATACATTTAGATCAACATTCGAAGAAGAACATATTCTGCGCAAAAAATACATCCGAAGTCTCTTATTTTTAACGCTAAATTGAGGAAACATTAACCCCCCTTTCGTGACGTTTTCCTGTACCTAATGCATTGCTTGTCATAAAATCATAAAAAACCCCCTCCTTCCATAGAGCGTGACGTAATTTGTGCATCACTCCTAAGCCCCTGACTAGATTTTCCGTCGTTTTTTCATGAATGGGGTGGGCCAAAAAGTATCTTTTGTGAAGAATATGTAAAAAAGGTCGTTAATCTAATTGCATATAAAGAGGTACCAGACATGTTTTACAGCGTCACGAATAGAATATCATCAAAATACATGGCATGCTCATGAGCTAATTTTCTCTCATATTTGAATGTTTTGGATATCTGGGCTACCACTGCTGCGGGTAAAAAAATAATGGAATTAGACTATTTTTTTTTTACTTGATTGGAAATAAGTGAACGTCAGAGTCCCTTTTTAGGTTGTCGTTATAGGGAGTATTTTGTAAAAATAATATTCTTCTCGTTTCGTAATATTTAAACGGTACCCAGGAGGGAAATAGTTTTGTAGTCTCAGCGAAAATCGGTCAATACCACCGATTTATCGTAGAAATATTAACTATTTCTGTAAAAATTTGTGCTTCTGAGAAGGACCGATTGTTCGATCTTCAATACGTTGTCCGATGCGAAAATGAGCTTCGGTATGACATCGTTCTTAACTTAAAGCTCATCCCGCACTTGCCCGATATCATCCAGTCGATTTTCCACAGACGAGAGATAAATATGGAAATCCGCCAGTCGGTTGGGTGATAGCGGGTTAATAGTTTAATACAAACACAGCTCGTTGAAGAGGTGAGTCTCCTTCCACCCCATCGCTGGTTTTTCAAGGTGATCACGCCGTCCGCTGCGAGGAAATTTTTTCTGCATGACGGCAGAGTGCTTGTCACTTTTTAGGCAACTTGGCTTGGGGAAAACGTTTATTTCATGAAAACAGTGATATAATTATCATTTGAACATTTTTTACATTTTTTACAAAGTTACTTATGGAAAATAAGAAAAGTATTTATTTGAGCAGATTTGTAGAGTTATTTCCTCTCGATTGGCGTATTGGGATCTAAATTTCATCTATAAATGGCAAAGTTACAAGCATTCAAAACCTAACACTATTCCGCCACAATTTTTTTTATTTGCACCCCAGTATAGTCCACAAAGACGTTGATCTTCGTTCATCTTAACAGTCACAATTTTTCTTCTATTAAAAGTGTTGAACTCCCATGTTGAGATTCACTGTCATGTTAAAAATACATTAAATTCCTTTTAAACTACCTTGAGCCTCACGGAACACGAAGACAAATATTTTAAATGTATTTCATCCATGATCCTAATTCAAAACAACGTTACAAACAGTCTCCGAAGTCCCGAACCCCCTAATCACACAAACACGCCATGCAAATCCGGACGTAATCGTTCCTCTTGGCTGCACTTGTTCGCTTTTCATTCGCATTTCTTAAGTGGAAACATTCTTGATCCCTCCGCATCTCGCAAGAGCAATTGAGCTTTCTCGCTTGGAAACAGCTCTGGAAAATTGTTTCTGAATACCCCCTCCACCTATCCCCCCCCCCACCATCACATTTGCAAAGTTCAGTCCACTCGTCAAATCGAGTGGAAATTAATGAGCCTCCGGTTCGTCCCGCCGTCTTGGTTCAAGAGAAATCATAACGTTTTTCAACGGAAGAGGACACTTGTGCGCTTCGGATGATAGCTAAGAAACGCAAAATCAATTATCTTGAGATTTTTCTCAGAAATTGCTTCGTGAATAGCAAAACTACCGACAGTTTATTTATTTTTATATTTTTATTTTATTTTTTTTATTTTTTTATCAATTTGGGCATGTGGTTTGGTTGCGGAAAAATGGTTGGAAATCGATATTTTAGTAATTAAGAAATTTATTGCGGTGTAAAGTGCCCGAAGAAGCCCTATTTTAAAACTGCCTTCAAATCAGAGAGAAAGAGTTATTGTGACAGATGTGAGAATTGATTTTGCCTAATTACTTTAAGAAAAATTATAATCAATTAAATTCCTATCGCTTGAGCATCGTGTACAAATCAAAGCTCACAGAAGGTTCTGATTTGTAAACGCCTCCATTTTACAAATGAACACGACGAAGGTTTATCGTTGTTATTGTGTTGTCAACGAATCAAGCAACGTTTTCCGATAGGAATGAGACAGCGTGTGAAATTAGCGTTTCAGTCACCGGGTAAAATAGCAATTAATTATTCAAATCCTAGTCACGTGGGAGGGATTTGAACATCGTTTGAAGTGGGAAATCTGCTAGCTTCTCAACTGTACTCGTTAACAAAAGGTGAATTTGTGTCAGTTGACTGATTGAGTTGATTTCAGACTGGCAATAGAACTGAAAATTTGTGTTATTTTCAATTTAATTACAACAGCAGCTCTTCGGATTCAATTTCTGCCAAAATGCCGGGTTCCTAAATACGATCCGATGAAAATCACACTCACTGAATTCTCACTAAAAAAATCTTGATGCGAAATTTTCCACAAAATGAGTGAAGTTTACCAGTTACTGGAATAAAGGCATTAAATTTAGAAATGTGGGATCCCAGCTTAAATTTCCTGAAATCACAGAAAAAAACGCCATTTCCGCTAAGTTCCTACACGTGCGCCTGCTTCAGTGTCGCAAAAGGAAAACATAAAGGTATCCTGGAGTGTGCAAATGTACATACAAAGAATCTTGTGCAAGCACACACTCGACCGAACACCATTCAAGATATCATCAATGGAAATTGAATTTCGTTGTTCAAAATTTAATCGAATCAAGCATTATTCAATTTGCTCAATTGTTGAGCACATACTCATACAGAGAAACACATTTAAATGCGTACCTAAATGGCAGGGTCAGCATGTATATGTCAGCCACAACTGTTGGGCATACCGATTTCCCACTGCACGGCACGCAGCAAAAGCGAATGAATGATTTGTAGTCTTTTGGGGGTGGGTGGTTTCCTACGATCCCTTGGTGGTCCCTGCCGTGTTGGTTGGACACGAAAATTGAAATTCCATCAACAACGTCCTATTGTTCCCTGCAGAATTGCACGTGCGACTGAGTGAGAGATGGCGTGTGAATGTTGTATCGCACTCCGTGTGACGTCTGCGGTCGTATGAATATAATAGCTTCTCATTGAACATTTCGGTTTGCTCTTTTACAGGACCAAACACGTCAGCTTTGCCCGGTCCTACACCCTGACGTCATTTGACGAAGCCATGGGTGGCCGACCCATGTCCCGTCTAGCCGCAGCTAGAAGCCAAGAAAGACTGATAGGTGGTAAAAAACCTACCATCACCCTGTCCCAGCACCAACCGATGGCAGCTCAGTTCGCAACGCCACTGCATTCGATTCTCCAACAGCCAAACCACCAACCACTCATGGCCCAGCAGTTGCAACAGCACCAGCAACAACAACAACAACAGCAACAACAGCATCAGCAATTGCAGGTTGGTCAACTACAGCCGATCCATCAGCACATTCACGCCCATCAGCACCTGCAGCATCTGCAGGCTCACCCCGGTCAGCTCATTACTCAACACCCACACCAACATCAGCATCACATAGCAGTAATGCAACAGCAGCAACAGCCACAACATCAACATCCTCCTGGAAGTGCTGCTAGCCTGCTGACTACTGCCACAACAGCATCAGCAGCCACCCAGCAGCAAGAGGTCGTAGTGGTAGAGAAAGTCAAACGAAGTGCCATGAAAACACAAGCCACGCAAACGGAGGTTTACTTGAACAAGAAAGCTGCCACGCCGCATCAGCTGTCGCTGAGTCCCAGGACGATTCATAGGGTGAGTAGCGATTAAATGCCGTGGTTATTGTTATAGGATAAGGGTTGCCTTAATTATTAGCTTTTGGTTTATAGTGTCTTGTAGAAAGTTTTATTATTCATTTTTTCCAATCTTTTTATGTTGGAGACATAAGATGAGTTCTAAATACCAACGTTTTAGTTATTGGAGATGGACTAGCATAGTGTTCCAATAAGATGTAAAACAGGTTATTTGAAACAACTTTTCTCCAGGAAGCAATTTTCTATTTCTAATGACTCACGAACTGATTTTTAATAAGTACCCTAGGGTTGCCCTCATAATTTAATTTTATATCTAGAAATGGCAAAAGTAGATTTTTATGCTAATATTTGCATTTGAAAGATAACTTTAACCAACGAATCCAAACACATAAAGCAACGAACGATACAGACAAAATGGTTGCTACGACTACCATGACAAACTCGCTCGGTAACAAAGCTCGATCGGAGTGGTAGAAAGATAATGATACAGGGGAAATGGATGTTATGTCGGCCTAAATGCCCCTGATTTGCGCCCAGCCCAAATTCAGCAATCGACTAAATTTTCAATAGCGACCAAAAATAACCATTAGGGTTTCCCAAAATTGAACTATGTCTTGAAATCTTGGGGCTCATCCTCCAAATGATAGCTAAGGGTGTTACAAACAAACTTTTGTATAGCGGCAATTCTGGGAAATGTTGTTTAGAGGTCTCCCCGACGAGATTTTTGAAAAAATTCCCTTTTTCATAGCTATTATCCAATAAATATTTTTAGTTCTTTAAATTTCAGTGAAATCTCACCCTTTAATATTTTTCGCAGATTCCCAAGGGTCAAAACTATAAGAGAAAAAATTGTTACGGCATGTTCTGTGTCTAATTTGTTACTTACAATTTTTCAAATTCTCTAAAATGATGTTTTTTGTTGTACATTACGGCATTCAATCATCAAAAGTGGGTATCAAACATAGCGCTATTATCAATCAAATGCAACAGAAATATAGGAAATTGTATAAGCAAAAGCTTTACCCAGGACTTTTTAACCTCATTTTTAATCGTTATAAAGTTATTCGTGATTTACTGTGGAAATAAAAGTTTAGAATTTTAATACTTGCGGTATGTCCACCAGCAAATCAAACTATCATTGAAATCGATAAATACAAATCACCTACTTTGTTGCAAATCACTTGATAACGATTGTTTCGAAGTTTCTAGAATTCAATAGGAGGATATTTGAGCGGAGAGGGATCACACAATTTATTAGTTTCCATTTGATTGCCGTAGCAAGCTGAACCAAAAAAGAAAATCATGTCACCAAAAACCAAGCTCAAGTCGGATCTCATCACCGGTATTGCGAGGAAGCATTTGCCCAGAAACCGTTTGCCGTCGGAGTTGGCCGTCATCAGGTACTTTTAATTAAAGCTTGAAACCCAACAACTTTCAATCGGACAAAGCATTCAAGTTGTGGCTACCGAAGCTATGGAGATTTGGACTTTCGCACCAGCTCAAGCATGTGATGAACTAGCCTACGGCTAAAAATCACAAAAAATAAAGAAAAAAAAAAAAAAGAAAAAACCTGCTCAAGCGAAACGTTGTTAGGAGGGTTGCCAAGCTCATTGTGACATGGCAACGCCAAAGAAAAGGCCTTCAAGAAGAAAAATCAGAGCTATTTCCAGCTTTGAAGATGTGTAGGATGCGGTTGAGTTACTTCTTCAACATAACGGTGAACCACATCGATGAAGAGCTACGAAACGATACTGTCCGTGCAGAATTCTGGAGCCAGCAGGTGACAAACAAAGTTCCGGTTGAGTTTCCGAAAAGCTTCTCAAGCAGTGTACCATTGATATGCAAGCAGCTTCGGTAGCCACAACTTGAATGCTTTTTCCCTATCATCTTCGGCTTTACTTCGTGAAGCAGCTTGCCAACAATTTGCTCGTTTCCTTCTATCGCCCCGAGTGAACTGTGTCGCACAGGTTCCTTGTCATGAAAAAAGGAAGAAGATTATATCATTATTGCTTTCTATTTCGTATTTCGTTATCGTTCGGTTTTTTTTTTGATAGCTTTGTTGTCATTTTGTCATTTGGAGATATTTTTGATTCCTTGACATTAACCCAATTTATTAGCTCATTTGATTAACTTTTGAAGACGGTGTTTTTGTTATTGAAAATTGTATAAAACTTTCCAATTAAAAGAGATAGCAATTTGATTGCTTTGGCATATATGTGAACCATAAGAAAATTTCTAGGACAAACCGTTTACGAAAAATCATTATTATAAACACTTTTATAATTTAGAACTCATCAACCTTACGGACCGCCCTTATGTCTCAAACATAAAAAAAAATTAGCTAAAATAAATGAAAAAAAAAATATCCCAAAGACTTTCCTAAGGAGAAATGGCTCAAATGTTGGCTTTTGTATCTAAATTTTGGGCCCATCGATAAACATACCCTGTTCTTCATTTTTCTTAGAAAAATGCGTTATCTGAATACTATTGTCATATCTGCTAGTTTGTCCCGCATTTTTTGTTCTTTTTTGACCTGTTATTTACTCTACCGTATAGTTGAAATAAATCAGAGAAGAGTTTGCATTCCATGCTTTGTTGACTCTGTTAACGTTATCAATTACTCGAGTACTGTTAAAGTTCCAGATGACTAATTAATAGTGCCTTGAAAAGAACTTATCATTGGTTGTGAAGTGACAGCGTCATCTGTTAGCGTCCAGTGATTATCAGCTATCAATGCTGTAAGCCGGTCAAGTCGCTTAAGTATATGCAATGTAGTGGTTTTTGTAATCAAGTTGCGCATCTCAAATCCGTTGGTCTCAAACGGCCAAATTTGGATTTCCTAAACGTCTGTTGTGGTTATGTGACAAATGCATCGAGCTACTCAAATTTTTTAAGGATAATCCCATGACCACGACCAACGAGGTTGTGTCCGCTGTTTCTGAGGTAATACATAGTTCATTGGTGATGTTGAAAGCTGATCTGCAAGAAATCAAAGAATTAAGTTGATATTTTTCCGCTCTCATGAGCTCGCAATATCACGCGTGATATTGGAACGAAATATCATGCTTGATATTGATTTTACAAGCTCCTTTGATATTGCGAGACTATTCACAACGCGCAAAAATCAAGCTGAAAGTTGACTCGACACAAAAATGATTCCATTGCACATCATTTTCTTAGAAAGAGAAAGCATAGTTTGCTATCTCTTTTTAATCTTCACCGATGGCAGACACGAAGGGACTGCTGTAAGCCGTTATGGAAGTTTCGGTTGCATTCGGGTGTAAAGCAAAACTCATTAAACTCAATCTCACCACAGTTTGGTGAGATTTGCATTTGGTGAGTTTTGTTAGCTTGATATTCCGAGCTGCGATATCACAGCTTGCAAAATCAACCGCAGTTGTTTGCTTGTTGATTTTTGTCTACGAAAATCAAACGTGATCTTGGGCGTTGGTGAGCTTTGATTTTTTGATATTTTCCCAACACTGCCTTCTATTGTGCTGAAAAAAAAATCAAAATCAAAAAAAAAATCAGATTGACCACCCACGGTTGCTGCTCTGTTATTACCAGATCAGCTGCAATTACACAGAGAACCAACAGATGATGTTTGGGACTAACATTCATCCTCAATGTGTAAGAACTGGAGATCTAATATTTAGCAATACCAGCGCCGGCCTTGTCCGAATGCAGGTCAACTAGGGAATGGGAAGGAATGTGTTGACGTGGTACTCGCTGTGAAGGAAACCGAGAAATCCTCTGCGCTTCCACGAGAAATCACTGGGATGTTGGATGTGGGGAAAGGTTGCACACGCACACGCAGGGATCGGTTTTTGGTAGAGCGATTATAATACACAAACACACACACACACACACGCGCGCGCACTCATCCAATTTCTATTTTTAGATCAGGACCCACACTGTGGTAAGTGATGCGATCGGTGTTAAAGAAGAATTTGTTTTCATTAAAATCTAGTGGGTATAGAATAAGGCAAAGTGAAAAATTGCAAGGAAGGGGACGGGCCTGGGATTGAACTCCCGACCTTCTGCTCAGTAAGCAGAAACGGTAACCACTGAGCTACCGAGCCTCGTCACTGCCTGCTATTGTGCTGAAGAATTGTAACAGTGTGCTGTCGAAGCCGTCATAAATCAACATCGTAACCAAGCGAATAGTGGTGTCGGAAATGTCTCAACTTTTCGACCCGCTTGGACTTCTCGGACCCGTGGTTCTAAACGCTAAAATGTTCGTACAAAATCTTTGGGCCGCACATTTGTCGTGGGATTCTGAGCTTTCCGCAGAATTGGAAACATGGTGGAAGAATTATCGTAGTGATATCTCCAAGCTCCAGTCACTCGAAGTTCCAAGACGCGTCCTTTGGAACACTCAACGCAAGGGTATGGATGTTGTGTTTACGTTGTTTCCCCAGATACACACGGAAATTTGCAGTCCGAATTGCTCACGGCGAAATCACGTGTCGCTCCTTTGCGTGGACATTCGATCCCACGTCTGGAGTTGTGTGCAGCTCTCCTCGGTAGTCAACTGGTCCACAATCTTCAAACAAATACTGACTTTACCGGACCAGTAGTATTTTGGAGTGACTCTACAATTGTCCTACACTGGATAAAATCCAAGTCAAACTCCTGGAAGATCTTCGTCTCCAATCGAGTCGCTGAAATTCAACGTCTTACGAAGGGTTCGCAGTGGAGACATGTATCGACTGAGGTCAACCCTGCTGATCGAATCTCTAGAGGGACGCTTGCAACCCAGATTCTTAACAACAAGTTGTGGTGGCATGGGCCAACATTTGTTACCTCCCCCGTCGAGCATTGGCCTCAGCAAGTAATTTCCTTGCCATCTAAAGAAGAGCTGGAGGGAGAGATGTGTCCAGCAGTTTCACTGCATTCAGTCAACGTCGATTCAACCATATTCGACAGATTCTCCGAGTTGGCGAAACTAATACGAACTGCCGGATACTGTCTTCGATTCTACAAGAATTGTAAACGTAC